CAAACACTAGGCAGAAGGAAATAGCCATTTTGGCTTGCTGAACGTCGTTAGCTGACTGTGCCTCAACTCCAAGTCTGGAAAACTGAGGAATCGGAGCAAAAAGGTGGTGGTTCGACGCAACTGTGCAGCATATCGAGTTGTGAGCGAAAAATAATCATTCCGTAGGTATCTTCTAAGTCCTGTGAGAGCGGGACTCGATGAGCTGATCAGAACCCATTACGGAATTCAGGAAATTCTCTCGATTCTTGGATTCCACGTCCAGGGACGTAGCAGGAGGTCATATAACGACGAATACAGCAATCGACAAGTCGCATTCATGAAAAAAGAGAACCTGCAATAACCATTTCTGACGGTGGCAAGGTAGCAGAGTTGAAAACATTCACTGAACACGGCTGAACTGTCAAAAAGCAAGGTGATGCGAAAAAACACAAAGTATGAGCACGAATTGAGCAACTGCTTCATTATGGAGTTCGTTAAAGCATAAACAGGAGGTAAAGCTGGCAGTAGAAGCAATCTAACGACAAACAAATTGCAATACCGACACAGGATTTGGAGAAGATACAGAGATAGTGACTGGTAAGAGATTTTGGACGGTCATAAGCATTCCGCAGACAGATATGATGGAAGAACACGAGGTACTTCGACGGATCAACGCATTTTAGGAGAAAACCGATCTAAAGCTAAAAGCAGGAGCTACGAAGAGTATGATTGTCAAATGTCTTGAAAAGAACTGCAACGTGCTCAGTCTGAAAACCGAACCACCGCTTAATGCTATTGTGTGCTACTAAGTTTTAGAGGAATAAACAGTAATGACGTATTGGAATCGCCCCATAAGCCGGTTAAATTTGCCTTAGTACTCAACAGGCGCGGAACTGACAAATCACTGACCGCAACATTTTTTCTGGTAGAATACTGTTAAAATAGGGTTGCGATGTTTATGGGAAGGGCGACATAATTCAGAGTTAATCTATGGGCGACAGCAGGCTGGCAGTCAAGTAAGAATTATCTCAAACACTTACACCAATAGAAGGGAAAGAATAGATGTCTACGTAGAGTGCACTTCACCTCTCGATTGTAATTGTTTTTCCCATTTTAATTATCCCTCTTAGAAAGAACACAGAATGTCTCAGGCGACCGCTGTTATAAGAAATTTATTGGCCGGACGTTTCTGATTATCACTCAAACTCATAACCAGAGACAGTCACATATCTGATCTGTGAGCTCGGATCGCGCACACACTAACAGAGGCTAGCTGT